CCCCAAAACCCCAAAACCCCAAAACCCCAAAACCCCAAAACCCCATACATTTATAATAAAATTGAATATTCGGCCGAAAATGGACAAGCTATTTAATGCTTTACTTGTTAACCCAAAGCTTTCTGATTCTGCAAAGAAGGAATATGTTATCAAAGTCGTTACTGCTAAGTTAACACACTGTAAGTTCCTCTATGCATCCCCAAATCTCTAACATCATACAGTAACTTCACAGCAGGAACGACCAGATTTCTTCATTAAAGAGACATTCAAAATCTTACTTCTCAAGAATCTCTCCGTTTACAACTTCGAAGTGTTCGCAGATGCCATCATATACGCATGCTACAGTGTTCTTTGAAGGAGTTTGGATGATTTAAAAGAGGTAAGCAAATGGGTATTTGGATGGGAAATTAAGGGAGAGTGAATAGCTGGGTGGGATGTAAGCGATGGTTTTTGAAAATGTCAAAAAGCTTAAGTTTGAAGTTAGTTTAGGGGGTCGGAGATGGACAGATTTTTGGAAGGAGGAAGAGGAGAGGGAGAGCCGAGGTATGAGGTAGAGGAATGGAGAAGTTAGGAGGAATTGGATTGACAGGAGATCTTAAAATTGGACTTTAGGAAAATTCAGCTAAAAAATCCTAGAATTTTGGAATTTAAAGTGGGAAAAATAAATACTTTTCTTTAAGCACTCTTAGACATTCATATGCCAAGAGAATTTGGAGGCAATACAGCTACTAAAACAATAGAAATTTCATACTATATTTTCTTCTATTTTTACTGAATCTTCCCTAACATATCTATTAAAGGCAACTAAATTCGAAGGAATCTCTAGAATTCAAGATTTAGTAATGAATCTTGAAATCTTACTAAAAAGAGATGATGGGGAAAGTGATTCTGATGAGGAAATTCATGATGAAATTGAAGAGCATAAGAAGATTATGTACCAGGTAGTTCTGGTAAAGATTCTATTATCACGCTGATGAGTGGGCTTAGAAGAAGAGAGTGCAAAGGAAACCATGAGAATAGGCATAATTAACTCTTTTCAACCATTCATGAGTAAGATTCTCAACTTGGAAGAGACAAAAGAAAACTTACTCAAAGTAAAAATGGAGGAGAAGAAAAGCATGCCTAAGGAGGAAGATGTTCTCAAAACCTTCACTTTCGTTAAAGTCCTACTAGATATTATCTGAGAAGATAACAGAATGGTCCCAACTAACTTTAACATTGACACCTATATTCCAATATGGCTATTCTACTTTTCTCTTTTAAAGATGAATAAGAGTAACAAAGCCTCTTCAAAACACCCAATCAAAGAACAAAACAATAACCTCCCAGACCACGTAAGCCATCCCTAACCCTCAAAACACCATATCCAATCTTCTAAACCCCTTTAATCCCTTCCTACCCCTCTCACCGCTCTAGCCCATCACTCTCAGTGACCAAATCCTCAAAAACCTCCTCTCCAGTAAGCCCCTTCCCATAACCCCTCTTCTCTAGTGTTCAAGACCCGTTTTGCCCAAATCCTTGACCCTCAAAACCTAAAATCCTACCAAAAGATCACTAAATCCGTGCTTGACTTGTTAATCCAGCTGAAATCCCTCCAAAATTCCACTCACTACTACCACTTCATTGAGTGTTGATACAGTATAAATGACTATGTCTTCTTAGAGACAGCCAGAGACTTGCTCTCAGAAGGATTATGCAAGTATACTCCTGACCATTATAAGTTTGTATTTACCCTTTTGGCAAAGAAATTTCCATTTACTAAAGCGACGTATTGATTGCAGCATACTGTCCTGAATTTTATGTACCAGAATAAGATGTTTAATACTTTGAGTGAGAATAGAGAGATGGTGCTGAATTCTGTGCTAAACAAGATTGGTAAAGACGATACACACTTAGACCTCGCAATAGATGTGATTGCATTCTTTACAATTGGGTTCAAATTCTGCTCAATAAAGATCCTAAAGAGAATGGAAGATTACTTTTCTAAAAATATCCTGTGCAAAGTGGAACCAGACGAAGAAGGGAAGCAGCAGACTGATGCGATGTATAAATTTGACATGTACGCTAATTACATTGTTTTACTGAAGGCAAACATGATTGTAAACTCAGGATATCCTGAGATTTATATTCCTCTTATGGAGAAGATCGAGCAAGCTTTTGGAGACTATATTGATCGAGAAGACGAAGAAAATAAAATCAATTCCTTTATTAAGCAATATACACTTAAATTGGAGGATTTAGAGCAAGAGGACGTGGAGATTGATGACCAAATCGACCAGAAAGATGGCTCTAAGTCTGACAATGGGGATGTTGAGGAATCTAAGGTTGCAAAGAAACCTTACAGATTCAAAGGGCTTGTAAATATGGGCAATACTTGTTACATGAATAGCTTCATTCAAGCCTTGTTCTTGACTGAATCCTTTAGAAAAGCAATAATTAATGATCTTTCTATTGGGCAACCTTGGATTATTGCTAACACTGCTTCAAAGAAAAGCATAGAACAATTATGACGATTATTTTGCCAATTAGCCTTCAGTCGCAGGCCATCAGTAAAGCCAATGGGCCTCAAATCTTCTTTGCCAAAATTCTTCCAAAATTATCAGCAGCATGACTCATCAGAATTTGCTAAGGTTGTATTAGACAAGATGGATGAAGAACTGAAAGCCCTAGTTAAAGAGTAATGATAGTTCTCACACCCATAAGATGTTTTTTATTCTATTTTAGAGAAATGAATCACTTAATGGGCTAACATTCTTATAGAGACCGATTGAAATATGAAGAAAAGGATAGAACAAGCTTGTTTAGAAGCACTGCCTCCATAACTCCATTCTTCAACTTCTTCGTATATCAGACAGTAAAGTGCGAGGAATGTAACTCTTGATCGACAAAGAAGCATGAGGAGATAGATCTTTCCTTGTCTTTAGACTTGAAAGCTGATTTTGGAGATTTAGATGAAGAAGTCTCTGTACAGCACTTACTTCGAAACTACTTCTTAACAGAAGAATTAAAAGAGAAATCTAATAATCAATATTTCTGAGAATCTTGTGATAAATATGTGGATAGTGCCAAATTGATGAAGAAGGTTGGCAAGGATCTTCCTCCAGTCGTCATGGTCACTCTTAACAGATTTTATTTTGATAAGGAAAGCAAGCAAATGAAGAAGAGACTGGAGCCTATAAAATTATCACCTTCTATTACTGTAGTAAAGGAAGAGCTTATTAATGAAGAAGAAGTGAAGGAAGAAGAAGTGAAGGAAGAAGAAAATAAAGCCAAAGACGTAACATACGATTTATATGTAAGAGTTTGTGATAAATAATAGGCAATCGTTATTCACTCAGGAACAAGAGCAAACTCAGGACATTACTACACTATCGCTCATGACAATATCAACAATTCAGAATCTGCTGAGTGGAAAAGTTTTAATGATAACATGGTCTCCGAAGTTGATGCTGATTTTATCGAAACTATTAACGAAAAGCTTAAATACGATACTCCTTATATCCTGTTTTATAAAGAACGAGAGCTAGGTGTCAGAACGAAATATTTTTCAGAGCATTCAAAGAGCCTATTTGATATAAAGATGAATAACAAGGTTCCTCCCCCTTTGGAGAAGTTCATCAAAAGTGATAGTGACAACTATTTAAGAGAAAAAGAGTTGATTACTTTGAGGCTAAATCAGGGTCAATTTAAGCCAGATATACAAGGTATTCCGCAAATTTATGTTTTATAGCCCTACTTGAGATCCAAAAGATGCTAATGAAAAAGAATCTTGGCAAGATTGATGAGGCAAGGACTATGGGACCAGGCGGGTTCGGTGGCTATGGAGGTAATAACCATGACTTCTTTGGAGGAGGCGGTGGTATTTGTTAAAAACAGAATTACAAAATATTCAACATTCTTTTAAATTTCTGGGGTTTTGGGGTTTTGGGGTTTTGGGGTTTTGGGG